TGCATTAAAGGGACCAGGTTTACTGTCAGTGGTGTCCACTTACGGGAAGTGTAAATTAGTGTTCAAGGCTCTAAAGCCAGATAAAAATTTCTGGCAAAATGAACACACTGGTATCTGTCCTCAGTAACTATGCAGACAGTGTTTGTTACTGAAGAAGGTGCTGGCTGGCCTCCTGCTTAAAACTCATGTGTGACTTCAGGTCTTTCATGAGCAACAGCAAGAAGACTCGGCTGAGTTCTCAGAAGTGAAACGCTGCAGCTCCCACTGAAGAATACAATCCCGTGTTCTAGGCAGTATTTCCTATCAAGGGGGTCTTCAAAGGCAGGAGGAACATTTACGTAGATGTTAGAAGGTGGCACTCTGCTGAAGGGAAAGTGTGGTCATGTGGCCATCAGGGTCTCTTCTGGGCAGCAAGCCAATGTGCACTGTGTGCTCATTACAAACCACCCCACTTCTTGCTCTGTACAGTGAGGCGCTTCCTTTAATTTGCAAGTTGGTTTTCTAGCTACAAGTTTATGTATTCCGGGGCCAGGGACTTAACTCTCCACTCCCCTTGCCAGTGACATTCTCCTTGTCGGCATGTTCATATGATGTTCTACCTCTAGCTTAAACCAAGCGATGACAATAATCAATTTTTGATCTATGCTAGACCCTTTCTTGCATTCTAACAAAACAATATAGGTCCAACTAAAGTCGAGTCTGCATTAGCTTTAGGCAATATCTCTGGAGAAACACACACATATAATTATATATTCAGGTGATAAAGGAAGGTAGAAAAGTAGAGGATGAAAGGCAAAAGAAAAATGCCTTAATGATTCTATAAATAAAACTTTTCTGTATAACATGTGCCCTTGAAAACAACTCTTAAGTGGTCAATAAGATGTACAGTAGCCTAATACTTGCTCAGGGATTCAGTTGTTCAACGATGTGAGCATCTACTATGTACCTGGCACAGTGCAAGGTGCTGTGGGGAATGCAGATTGATGAGATGTGATTTTCAAAAGCTTATGATAAAGTAGCAGAACATGTAAAAGGCATTTTGTTTTAGTAAAAGGAAGTGTTATTTACTTAGGTTTTAGTGCCAGACGTGGTGTAAGAAAATAGTAATTTATCCTCCATTTGCCCCATGGTCCCAAGCACATAAGCCGGTGAGAATTACACCTGGGACTTGCCTGGGGCTTGCCTGGGCTTACCCCGCCCTTATCTCTAAACATCCTGACCCTCCCCCGAGGCAACAGGACGAGCAGATCCGCCACAATAAAAGGCATCACGCTGTTGCTCTCTCTCTCTCTCTCTCCTCTCTCTCCTCTCTCCCTCCCTCTCTCTCTCTCTCTCCTCTCTCTCTCTCTCCCTCTCTCTCTCCCTCTCTCTCCTCTCTCTCTCTCCTCTCTCTCTCTCCTCTCCTCCCTCTCTCTCTCTCTCTCTCTCTCTCTCTCTCTCTCTCTCTCTCTCTCCACCCCCCCTCTGGGGGCAGCCACTCTCTCTTTTAGATAATAAAATCTCTTGCGTGGGCCCATCTCTCCACCCCCCCTCTGGGGGCAGCCACTCTCTCTTTTAGATAATAAAATCTCTTGCGTGGGCCCGTGTCTCCTGAGTCGTTCTGGGTAAGGAGGGTCGCGGCGAGATACCCTTTCACGTGGTTCCAATGAAGTGCTTATGAGACTTCCAAAAAGAAAAGGGCTTCCAACAACAGGATTTAAGACGAGGGCGTTCAGACAGGCTTCAAGACCAGGTTTCATTTATATTAAGCACAAAGATATCCACTTGTTTTTTTTTTAAACGGAAGTATTGTTGATATACAATCATATATTGGTTTCAAGTATACAACACAGTGGTTCCCCATTATTAAATCCTCACCCCCACTGGTGCAGTTACTATCTATCAGCATAGGGAGATGTCACAGAGCCATTAGCTATATTCTCCATGCTGCACTTCCATCCCCGGACACCCACGTGTTCTTAAAGAAGGTGCTAAGTATATGAAGGGCGAGAAAAATTTAGAGCTGCTAATAGTAATGCTTGCTAAAGGGTAGTTCACTACAGTTTACAAAGCTTCTATATTCAACATACTTAATATTCATAAATATTACCACTATTTTTTAAATTTGAGAATAAATTTTAGGATAAAGGTACTTTTTGAGGTTGCACAGCTGGTAATGTAAACTGCAGAGGTAAGAAATCAATGAGTTCAGACTTCAACTCTAAAGGCCAATCCACCCCAAACAGCCACCCAGAGGCTGCACACCTGAACGAACAACTCTAAGCACGGGCGGGGCTGCAAATCTCCAGGCATGTGGGTTTTTCACAGGTTCATCTGAGTTTGGGGCCCCCCTCAAGAAACCCTTATTCTTACTCACTTAGGCCAACTAATTAGAATCATTTCAGTAACCCACTCTGTCCAGAAGCTGCGGCCTGGAGCGGCCTTTGGCTTGTGTGAGGTCTTATGCAGGTACAGTGCTCTCGTGCTAGACATCCTGCCTGAAGTCACTGGATAAAGCCCATGGTTAGCCCAGCGATTTGGAACTGATTTCATATGAATAGCTTAAAAAAAGACAGTGGTACATACCTGGCTCTTCAATACAATTTACATCTACTTTGTTTGGAAAGTGATCAGATACACTGTGACAAGCCTTAGTCCTGGCTTCATGTGGCCATCCTGGAGCAAGGACCACCACAATCGCCATTGTCGGCTGCACATGGATGGGCATGCACCTCTATTTTTAACGGGGGTCTGCATGTACTTACTTGAATGTGAAAAAAATCTGGGCAATGATCTTAAGAAAACCACCATCATAACTTGTTGTGTGCAGACAGACGGCTGAATTAAAGGTACAGTACAAACTGCCACAGATTCTTCGATAAAATCTGTAAATAAGATCCTCCAAATAAAGATGGGGAATATTTAAATATTAAGACAAATCTATACATAACAGTTACTTGTTTCCCATGCCAACAAAGAATCACTTGTCTTGCTAATGGGCGTGTTGTCCTCTCAAGCCTTACTTGTCTCCACTCAGACCAAACAAAGGTCCCTACTTGGGAACAAGAATGTGTCCTGGAGGTTGTTCTGTGCTATTTCATAAAAATTACACTTTCCACCTGATTATTTCTAGGATATTGAAAACATTACTGAATTCCCAACCTAATCTTACATTTGACCACTAAATTCTTTTTTTAATTTAAGTATCATTGATAGACAAACTTATACTGGTTTCAAATACACAACACAGTGGTTCAGTTACCCACATAATTAAATCCTCACCCCCCTCTAATGCGGCTACTATCTGTCAACACAGGAGGATGTTACAGAATCATTGGCTACGTTCTCTGTGCGGCACTATCATTCTTATGACCAACTTATATTATGACTGAGAATTTTTGTGCCGCTTCATCCCGCTCCCCCTCCATCCCTCCCATCCTTCCCCCACAGTAACCACCAGTCCTTCTCAGTGTCTCTGAGTCTACTGCTATTTTGTTCATATTGTTTTGTTTTGTTTTGTTTTTATATTTCTCCTATAAATGAAATCATATGGTATTTGTCTTTCTCTGCCTAGCTTATTTCACTGAGTATAACCCTCTCTAGGTCCATCCATGTTGTTGAAAATGGCAGGATTTTTTTCTTTTTTATGACTAATATTCCATTGTGTATATGTACCACATCTTCTTTATCCATTCATCTATTGATGGACACTTAGGTTGCTTCCATATCTTGGCTATTGTAAATAATGCAGCAATAAACATAGGGGTGCACATATCTTCTCGAATCAGGGATTTTATGTTCTTCAGGTATATTCCTAGAAGTGGAGTTACTAGGCTGTACGGTATTTCTAGTTTTAGTTTCTTGAGGAACCTCCACACTGCTTTCCAGTGGCTGCACCAACTGACATTCCCACCAACAGCGTAGGCAGGCTCCCTTTCTCCACATCCTTGCCAACATTTGTTATTTCTTGTCTTTTGGATAGTGGCCATTCTGACTGGTGTGAGGGGATATCTCACTGTGGTTTTGATTTGCATTTCCCTGATGATAGCGATGTGGAGCATCTTTTCATGTACCTGTCGGCCATCTGTATCTCTTCTTTGGAAAAATGTCTGTTCAGGTCCTCCACCCATTTTTAAATCCACTTGTTCATTTTTTATTTTGCTTACATTGCTGTGGGGATGTGTCCAGAAAAAAAATTGCTCATACTTAACGTTCAAGAGATTTTTGCCTATGTTTTCTTCTAAGAGTTTTATGGTATCATGTCTTACAGTTAGGTCTTTAATCTACTTCGAGTTTATTTTTGTGTGTGGAATTGGACAGCAATCCAGTTTCATTCCTTACATGTAGCCGTCCAGGTTTCCCAACACTGTTCATTGACGAGGCTGTCATTTCTCCACTGTATATTCACAGCTATTTTATCGTATATCAATTGACCATGTATGCACTGACCACTAAGTTCTGATATTAATTACAATCTTTGGTTCAGTTGATAGACTTGGATTTTCCTCTTCCTTTCCAATGTTTGCAATCTTATTTCCTTTTGGTCTAATTATCAGCTACCAAGCAGAAGTGACAACAGCAGAGGGCGTTCGCTTGGTCCCCAAAAGAGACGCTCTTCTAGATGTGTCAGCCATGAACTCGTTTCAGGCCCATGACGGGCCTTTGAGATGGGTGTTCCTGTCATCTTGTGAATGCTGGAACTACGGCACATAGAGGTCAGGCGGCACACATACAGGGTCACATAAACGCCGGGTGGCTGAACCATGTCCGCCTGTCACCCCAGTAGCTTGTCGTTAGGTTGGTCAAGCTCGGCGACGGGGGTCCTGGGGCAGCTGGATGCCAGCAGCACTAAAGGATGTCATCCCTTTACACAGCAGCGTGCTCGACAGCTGCCACATGGAGACACACGGGAACCAAGTGCTCATGAGGACCGTTTCTAACAGTTCCCACAACAGGCAAAGTGCATCATCTGACCTTCCCGCTTCTCCTGGCTCTCCTTTTATCAGAACAAGACTACTCACTCGTTACATAACATGTGTGCGCAGTCAGGAAGCAGGGCTGAGGCGAAGTGCATTACACATGCCAGGAATTCTGTGGCTCCGTTTAACTGCCGTCACTCCTGAAGTGTCCACAGTTGTCTGCCCTGTTAATCCAGACACAGGTTATGCCCAGATTAAAGGGCTGCTCTTTCCCTGGTCTGTTTGCACCTTTGAACCCGAGCAAGGGCCATTCTGCATAGTGCACAACTGCAGGGGAAGGAACAAAAGCCCTCGACCCTGTGAGCCTTTCCTGCTGGGCATAAGCGAGCAGACCACACAGTGAGGAGCAACGCCTGCAGCTGCTGGTGGATGGGGGGAAGGTAAAGGGAAGCGGAAAGCCGGAGGGAACAGTCACAGCCTTACCCGAAGCACCTCCTCATTCCTGGGGTTTGGCCTTCCCAGTCTCTCACTGGCTGCGGAGAGATCCAGAGCAACCCAGGAACACCAGAAACTCTGCCTTGCTGCTTCCGCCTCACCAATGCAATCTGCTAGTCACGAGGGGCCACCCCCACTTGCTGCCAAAGGCTCATCTCGAAAACCAGATACATGTCACGGGAGTGAGCTCACTGCTGATGGGACACAGGCCAAGCCCAGGAGGTTCCTAAGAATGCTGTGATCTGGCCGTGGTGGCGGGAGGCAGGGTCACAGCTTGAACCTCGACTTCACCACCCACTGTCTGTAGGTCCTGGGGCTGAGATCCCAAAGGTCTCCTCATCTAGAAAGGGACAGTTTCTATGATGAAAGGAGGTCACGGCTCTACGTGGCACACCAGCCCAGCCACCCCACAGCAGGTGCTCACTGCTGTGGGCCTTGAGTGCTACCACCCTCTCCTCTCCAGTGGGCCTCCCCCCTCTGTACCACTGCCCAGCATCCGGTAGGTATCCCATCATTCAACCAACATCAGGGTGTCTCCCAAGACCTGCAGTAGCCCTGCCTCAAGAGCTCACTCCTTCCTAGACCTGGACCCTCTATGTAGATGCCTGAACTTAAAAATAATGCTGTCATTAAAATGTTAGGAAAAGAGAAGATACAGAAATAAAAAGGGAAAGGTGATATGCTTCTGTTTGGTGGGAAAAGGCCTCCACATCTTGACCCCCCACAGATACAACATGTAAAATTCTTAATTTCAACATCATTTTGAGAACTATATGTCATGTTGATGCATATTGCAATCTGAAGCAGGGAAACCAGGCTTTACAATGTTGTTTTAATTTTTTAAAAATCTGTTTATCCTATTTAGAGATGCACCCTTCTCAATATGAAGAAGGAAAGCCAGAGTAACTAACCGGGGGTCTGCAGGGACTGTCCCACTGAGGCCCCCAAAATTCTCTGCCATGACACATGGCTGCCAGCATCTCATGCATGTGCGCAGGAAGTAACATCTATTCACAGACTGTCTGACATGTTTTTTTCAGCCTGGGTGACAGCTTGTTCTGTTTTAGAAGTTAACTCTGATACTGGCTTTCTGGGCAATGTCTATCAGGAAGCCTCTCTCCAAAAAGTGGGCATTTTTAATAATGCAGCACAAAATAAAATGAATTGCTACTATAAAGATAATGGTAAGAGTAATAATAAGTATCTGGCCTTCTCCATCTTGGTGCCATGGACACTTTGGGCTGGGTGGCTCTGTGGTGTGTCCTGTGCACTGCAGAATGTTTAGGGGTGTCCTTGGTTTCTACCCACCAGATTACAGAAGCTCCATTCCCCTTGTCTTGGCAACCAAAGTGCCTCCACGCAGCCCAAGTCCAGGGCATGGGGAGATGGGCACAGATTTTCAACTGGTTGAGCGACTTGCTAGTTGAGAACCACTGGTCCGTGTTAAAGAAAGAAAACAGTAATTTGCTTTCTTAAATAAGGAAGTAACAGAGTGACCAAGAATTGTGATGTTTTGATCTTAACAAGTCAACCGATAATATACGTATTTTCATTCACAGAGAAATTTATCATAGTATTGAAAATATATTACCACACTATTTCATTTAACTTATCAAACTTTCCCAGATTTTGACACAGAGAACAAAGCATCCCTACTCGATGTAGGAAGCAATGTCATACAAGCAAACCCATTAAATCCTCACGGTATCAATCTTTCAGAGCCTGAGATTTCCATACATCTTTTCTTTGGTTTCTCGTCTTGTCCCTTACTCCACACCCCCTCATCTGCAGCGTCGTCTCTGTGGGATCCGGCGGGCCTGGACACCACGAGGTAGAGCACTCTTGCTGGTCCGGAGGCCCAGGACCCCTGACAGGGGACACGTCTATCGAAGGCTCTGATGGTCCCCCAAGATCACAAAATCTTTCCTATTGCTCTATTTTCAGGAAGAACATGAAAGACTACTTTCTTGATGAAATTCATTTTTAGGAGAAAGAATGTTTTAGCAATAGAAAAAATGGTAGAGATGAATTAAAACCATTAGGAAAACGTGTGTGAGAAAACGCCTATAAAAAAGCCTGTTTCCTTAAAAATTGGGCAAAAAGAAAAATCTCAGACTTATCTTTCTCTCCCTTTCCCTGTTCCCTGCATCACGGTATCAATCTCTGCCTTAGCAGCATTTCCCCAGGCGCTCAGGCCTCCCCCCAGGCGCTCAGGCCTCCCCCCAGGCGCTCAGGCCTCCCCCCAGGGGCTCAGGTCTTCATTATCTTTTAAGTCTATTTCAACAACCTCTTATCTGATTTCTCTTACTTTCTCATTTTCATTCAGGGGCAGTAGGGAGGTGATGGGGGTGGAGGGTTACAGCCTCACATAATCTTTTTAGAACACAGATCATGTGAGGGACCCCCCACCCGCCCAACCAAAGGCACAGAGATTACAGTTCCCATTATTCATCCCAGAATTCAAATCCCTTCATCATTTTTTCCAAGCTAGATTTCTAACCTTATTTTCTAAATACCCCTTCCTCCTCTATCCCAAAATTATCTTTACTATTGCCCACAAAATTATCTTCACTATTGCCCACAATCCAAATGGTCAGACTGTCCTCAGACTGGAAAGGGCCTTCCTCCCACGTTCACCAGAAGGCCCTTGGCTTTGATTTCTCAATCCTATTGATCGCTCAGTCCAATAGCTGCTCAGCATTGTCTGCGCCTCTAGTAGAACCATCATTTAGCCATCTTCTCTTACAATCCACAGAGCTGTAACTGTGGAATAAGAGACCAGACTTGTTCTCTAGGCAGTTTTCAGGCATCTTTGAAGTTAGGCCTTTAAAGATGAATCAATTTCCATTAGGTCAAAAATATTTAGTAAGCCCTGCAGTGCTTTGTTCAAGCCTGTGCTGTGAGAGATGCACTTGCCTCCAAGGAGCCTTTGGTAGAGAAAAGAGTAAGAATAAGATGTAAACACTCGGGCAAAACTGCTACAGGGATTCCAAAGCAGAAGGAAGAGGAGGATCTTATCTCTGTGCCTGCTATGGGAAGCGAGGAAAAGCTTCTTGAGGCGGGCAGTGTTTGAGGCGGGATGTCACAGCCGGGAGGTGACTGATGTGTGGGCCCTCCGAGTAGGAGGAAAGGACAACAGCAGGGAGGCAGGGTGGCGGGGGGGCTTGCGGCACTGCCAGCGAGTGTCCCCCAGACAGCAGTGCTCTAAGCCACTGGGCGCCCGCCCCAAAGAGCCCTGTGTTGGACAAGAGTCTGCACCCACATGGGGCACATCTGAAAAGCCTTGGTGGGGGGCTGAGACACAGAGCCGTGGTTGGAGAAAACCACCACCTGACTGTAGCAGAGGACTGACCGGCCGACACAGGAGGCCCTGGGGTCTTCGCAGCAGGTGAGACCTGGTGAGAGTAGCTGGCAGGGGCAGGTACTGAGGACGAGGATTCCCACCCCAGGAGATGATGTGAGCTGCGAGGGGCTGTGGAAAAATGTTCTGCCACCGAGTACTGAACTCATGGTATGCAAAGGCATGAGGGAGAAATGGAGTGTTTCAAATGAGAACATGCCCATGGTGTTCATTTACCTACAGGGACTGGGACCGTGGAGAGAGCAAAGGTCCCGTGTTCACGCTGCTTGTGTCGTGCTCCTCGGCCTGTCTCACTCCTAGGGACAAATCCCATGGTGTCCTGTGAACAAGTCCCAACCAGTGGGAGGCCTGGTGGTGTGCACTTTACTAGAAGCACAAAGGAGGGGTCTGAGTCATCTCTCCTCTTGCCCTGAATGGCAGCTAAGTTTGCCTGGTATATGTGGCCATCGTTTCCCTGTATGAGGTATGACAGTATGACATTGTGTATGACAGTAACCCGCAAGGGCAAGCGCGTTCACAGGGGGGCTCCCAGAGGCCAGCGACTACCCAGAGAATTGGAGCGAAGGGACTTCAGGAGGTTCTGCCAGCATGGTGATTGGGTTTGGACACATTAAGTCCATTTTCTGAGAAGAAAAAGAATGCAAAGCAATTCCCAAAAGCTAAAGGGAAACTTTTAAAAGGTCACTACTTCTTAGAGGTATAAATCCAACATGGAAATCAAATTATGATGTGAGACAAGCCCGTCTCCACCCATGTTATAAACACCCCATAAACAGTGTGGCTGATTTCAGGCAGCTTGTCCAAACTCCCACCTGATGTTAACCGCATTACCTCGTAGGTCATGTTATACTTGAACCAGAGTTATCCCTTTCACGTACCAACTTGCTGTTCAGTATCGACATATGAGTAGGAAGGAAACAGAAACGGTAGCCTGGGAGTTTCACACCCCAAATGTCATCCCTCCTCAGTGCCAGATGTTTTGGTGTTATGTTTTTGATCCTAGATTTTTTGTTTGTAGATGCAGTATGGGATTTGTGAGGATTCTGGGAGTAAACGGGCTGAAAGGTGAAAACAGCAATCAAGGGATTCTCAAGTTTGTACTTATTTCACTAGCGTTTATAGATCAAGAAGAGCCACCCAGCACAACACCAGATAACCTTCCACTGGTCTTGCTCAGACTCACCCTTTGTATACCTCCTATAATGCTCTTATTTGAAGAAGAAACTCTAAAACAACTTACCTTTCTTCCCAAATTTAACACACACACACCCATCCCCTTAAATCACTACCCCTGGCTGGGAGGCTCCTGCACCTCACCCAGAGCCACCTCTTCCCAGCTCACCTTTCACCCAGTTGGGTTGTCCCTGCTCACACCTCACACCAGAACAAACAGCCCAGGGAGAGGTGAACTTTCACCCCTACAGAAACTACCTAAGACCGTAAATAGGATTCAAGGACTGAGGCCCAGTGCTCTTGGTGAGAATGCCACTTGAGTTTCACATTGCAGTTAACTTTGCTGCTGGTTGCTAAGTTTGAGTCCATTTTTCCTTCTTTCATTAGAGAAATTTTTAAACATATAGAAAATCAGGGTAATGCACATGTATGTACCCTTCACCTAGATTTAACAACTTTAACAGCTTATCTTATATTCACTTATTTTTGTTTGTTTTTGACGTATTTTTTAAATTATAATCAAATTTCCCCCAAATAATTCAGTATGTGTCTAAAAAAAAATATTTTCCTTTATAACACTAGTATCATACCTAACAAAATCAAAATAATTCCCTAACGTCCTCTCATCATAAATGCCATTCATATGCTGATTTCCTTGGATTACTGTTTTAAGTGAGAAGTGAGACAAGAAGGCTGCGCCAGAGGCTGGTGACAGTCCTGGGGTCATCTGCTGTCAGAGGTAGACCCTCACATGACTTCTCTGTCCTTGTTAAAATATTAGGGTGAACGCCCAGGTGTGAAAGACACCAGTCAGCCTGACCACAAGCACTAGGTCACCCCAAGCTGTGAAAATTACTCGTTATGCAGAGAAGTGGAGAGAGAGGGAGGAACAAATGCCTCCAGAGGGAACACATGGCCGAGACAACTTCCCAGGCACCAGGCTATTATGGTACTTAAATAGTTCCCCTCTTTCTCTCCTGAATCACTCCCCCTAGCCTAGAAAGAGTCTTCAGACTCCATTAGTCTTAAAAAAATGAATACTAGACACCTTTCGGCCCATGTCCTCTCTTGGCTTCTCCCTAATACATCCTGAAGAGAATAGCTGATCCCGTGAGCTGTCTCACCTTCCACTCATTGTCGCCCCCACTTTGTAATCTAATTTCCCCCCTTCTATTCACCAAGACTGCCTTTTCGCAGATTTCCATGACCACACATAAAGCCCTTCCCCAGCCCCTGGCTTCTGGCAGCGGCTCCCGTGCTTGTGTGCAGGGCTGCTGCACCGACCCCTGCGCGGTGGGAAATCTGCGCATGAATTCCCATTCCCCCAAACCACTGCTGTTGCCCAGAAGCCTACCTGATAACATATAAAGTCGATTAACACATATTGGGTACATTCTGTATATTAGATGCTCTATTCTTAGAGTAAAGTAAGTTTGAGAAAATGTTTTTTGTCACAAATCTCCAAAAAATTTTCCAATGTATTTATGGAAAAAGATTCATGCACATGTGGACCCACACAGTTCAGACCTGTCTTGTTCAAGGGTCAACTGCATTTACTTAATTTTCCCCTAGAGTCAGAATGCTGGTGGGGAGCTGTGTGTGAAAGGAGAGAAAAGCAGAGCTTTACCCAGTTTACTGGCTGGTTATAATGCTTCTCCTCTAGAAAGGGTCTTTCGGCACCACCCAGGCTGTAGTGGTCAGGGAGGCGGGCTCTGG